TTACTCATGGTGGAGGTCATGAGCTGGGGGATGAGGCGGGTGCACTTCTCAGATACGTGTCTGTCGATTATCTGTCTTTGCAGTTGGTGTGGGGTAAGGCTCAGCTCTGACTATGAGTGTTGGGGCGGTCCTAAGTACAAGCACCCTGGCTCTGAGTTCCACCCATTTCTATGTGGCCCTGAGTAAACCATGGACCCTCTTCACATCCTCAGTGTCCCCTGTCTGAAATAGGGATGGACGAGAAAGTTTCAGAGTTGTATAATGGAGGTGGAGAGAAATTACGCTCACGAGGTGCTTAGCATGGCGCCAGCCTCCTGAGCTGGGCTCAGCTGTAGCCCCTGTTGTTAGTGATAAGTATTTCTCCCTCAGAGTAGCCAGACCACAGCATTTGTCTTTCAAATTTAAAAAATACACACCGCCGCTGCCGTGAGGAGACCTGTGTGTGGAGCCTTTCTCAGATAAGGAGGCTTCAGGTTAGACAACGGCATTCCCACGCTAACAAGTCCATGGCTTCCTACCCGAGGTTGGTCCAGATTCCCACCAGAGCGTCGCTATCACACCCAGAGGCCATCTTCCGGCTCTCAGAGCAGCTTGTCTGTGCCCTCCACACCAGCCTGTGGCACTACCACATTGACTTTTCTAGGTCTGCTCTCCAGCTCTCACTAGCTTCTCTGTCTGGTCTTACCCCTCAGACCGGACATGCATCATGTGGATCCCATGGTCTAGAAGCATCACATTTGAAACGGCACACCTGCATGTTCATAGCCTCCCACGGGGTAGAGAGTGTTACAGCTCCATGTCTGTGTTCCCTCCCTCCACAGTGCATTCCTGGAAGGCAGTGCCCAAAAGTCTACTTCTGGCCTCACTAGGACAATGTAGGGTGTGACAGAGCCCAGTTAAGCCTTTTAAGTGTTGACACGAAGTAAATTATGCTGGTTCTGGCCTTTACAAGTGAGTTAGCTATGCCTTAGGCTTCTTTCTCAGACTCCTGACTGTGCTAGTCATATGACCAAATCAGTTAATCCCAAGCCTCAATATGTATTCATGCTCAAAAAATGTCAAAATCTGACAGTGATCGCACGCGCGCGCGCGCGCACACACACACACACACACACACACACACACACACACACACACTAAGATGGACAATTTAACCAAGTGTCAGTCAGCACTTAAAGATGTGACCTACTATTCCCACTACTGTTTTATCTAGTTTTATTCAAAGTGATGTCATGCTATTTTTATAATTTTCAGTCTTTATTTCTTTTTTTAATCTGTACCTTCGTGTGTGTGTGTGTGTGTGTGTGTGTGTGTGTGTGTGTGTACCTGGGTGTGGAGGCCAGAAGTTGCCGTTGGCTGTCTTCCGGGATTCATCTGCACCTTAGTTTTTGAGACAGTCTCACACTGAACCCCCAGCTCACTGTTTCAGTCAGACTGGCTGCTTAGCAAGTCCTGCAGACCTGGCTGTCCCTGCTTGGCCCCGGGGTTACAGGCACACACTAGAGTGCCTGGATTTTATGTGGGCTCCGAGGATCCAAACTCAGGGCCTCATGCCTGTGCACAAGGTGCCTTACTCTCTGAGCCATGACCCTCACCCCCCAGGCTCTTGTCAACGCATCTACTTTCCACCACAGCCCTGCAAGACCGTCGAAGCAGGCATACTTTGCATCTTATCCAGGAGAAAAATCTCAGAAAAGCTGCTGTTGGAAGATCACACACTTGACTGGACCACCCTTCCCTGGGGCACACCTCGAAGCATCCGTGCTGCGTCAGAACATGACATGCCCACGGGCCCCTGATTAAAGCATCCCATAATTCATAAATGCAGAGATAGTATCAGGCCAGACAGCATTAAAAGTTATCCAGATATCATTTTCTGCTTGGAGGGGAAGAGCTATGATTTATTAAGCGAACTGTTTCTGTCTCTCCAGGAATGATGTTGAGCTTCCCTGTCCTGCCCTGAGAAGGAACAAAGTCGGAGAGCAGTCTCTTGTGAGATTTACTGTATAACTCTGTGCGGTAGACAGGCACATGTGGTGACACTCGGGGATTGTGAATGGTGGATGCACTAATAGGGTCAAAGAAAGAATGACTTATGGATCCAGGGCAGGGAATAAGAACACAGAGGAACGTAGCCATGATTTGTTTAGCTGGAATTTGTCCTAATCAGTGTTCCAGTTAGTCAGTAAGTGTTTTTCTTGTCTCTGAGTGTCCTGGTTGGAATCCAGCAGCTTGGGTTGGCACTCATGCTGCCTGGGAGGTGGACAGGATGAAGAGGACGTGATCTGAAATCTATACTCTTCACTCCACAGGCTAAGCGACCTAGCTGGGTGGTGGAGGGGCCACTCTTGAAAGTCTTGGGACTTGGATTTCCTGTTTGGGAAGCTATCCCTGACCCCATAGAGAATAATTATCATGTCTGATTTTCCTGTGTGTGAAGCTCCTATGTTGAGTGTCTGAACGCCCACCAGTGATATTTCAATGGTCAGGATTTAGTTGTTATCTTTGCTGGAAGCTTCAGCCTTGGACAAATAGAGGCATGCCATCAGGGCTCGGTAGGGACAGAGCTGCAAGGTGGTCTTTCAGCAGTTTTTGGGGGGACTTATGTTAAGGCAGGGGAAGTCGCAGTCATGGACTGGCTGTCCTTGGCATCAGCGACGGGCTTTCTCTATGTTCGAGAGTTCAGTGCTAGGCAGCAACCGACGTTGGATGACTGAGGCTGCTGGAAGTGAGCTGACCTTAGACGCCTGGAGATGTTTCTTGTTTTACAGCCCTTCGAGGAAATGTCTGAGAAGAGCCACCTGAGTGGGTAGGGTCAGTTAGGCCCGTGCTTTCTGAGATTTCCATCCACTGTGACTGATGCCATGGCAATGCCTGCGTGAGGCAGATCCTGTGTGATCATGTGACAGAGGAGACCACTAGGCTCAGGGCTGCCAGGAAGCTGAGGCAGACGGGGGAAGGGGAGGAATAGAAAGGTACAGCCAGCCTTTGAAGGCACCCTGCCAGTGACCTCCTTCCTCTGACCAGGCCCATGCCCTACTTTCCATCATCCTCCAGTGAGGCCATCAACTTAGAAATCCATCAGTGGATGGACAATGGTCCATGGGTAAAGTCGGGCCTCTGCAATCCATTCACTTCCTGAGTCTCATCCTCTGATAACAGAGCCTTTCACCTATAAGGCTTCGGGAGATATTTCTAATTCAAACCAGCCGTGTCCAGACCAAGGGAGGAACTGGTTCAGGGTTGGTTGCATTGCTTAAGTGAGATCCGTGGTCTTGACTTGATGCCCGCCGGTGCCAGTCTATAGAGAGAGGCTCAGTGGGGGGCAGGGTTCCGTGTTAAAGTGATTCTCAACTTTCTCCCTTATGTCTTAAGATATAGATTATAAGATATAATCGACGTATATATGTGCAGGCCTTTCTATCATGATGTTTTTCAACTATACAGGAAGGTGTAACCTATATCAAGGCTCAAGCTCAAGTACAGGCATCTATTAAATTGTAAACCGGCCCCACTCCAGTCGATACTCAGGGCTTCGTCTCTCATTCATTCATTCATTTAACAACTACCACGTGCCTCCTCAGTGTTGCATATAAAATATGTAAAATTGTATACAAACACGATAGGTAGCAAAAACGGGGGCAGAGTATGGCCCTCATCCCCCAAGGGGTACACTCTAGGGAGAGCAATGACAGCCAGTGGGGAGGGGCCCGGTGTTAAATAAACCTGCACGGTATTAAAAAGTGAATAGACAATAAACAAAGGAAGCTGTGGGCACCCCAGGGTAAGGCCTCTCTCTAGCCCAGGATTTGATCCCAGCACTGGAGGGAAAGAGAGAGAGAGAATAACAGTGATTAACTTTCCCCATAAGCCACACCAGGGACTCTGATGAGACTCAGATACCTCCTCCTTTCAGGGTTAGCAATCCAGGGAAGCATTTTGTAGAAGTGCAGCTGCCAGGAACTACAGGGTCAATGTCCCCTCTGACTGGGAGTCAGCCGAGGGGTCCTGGGAGGTCCCCTCTGTACTGGAATGTGAGGGGTGAGTAGTAAGGGCAAAAATAAAGAGGGTTTTGCCAGCCGGAGAAGTGTACGGGTCAGGTTAAGGTCAGCAGGACCTATTCTGGCTGCTGCTGAGTCAAGGCTTCCAGCAGTTGCTAAGAGGCCACTCCTCCTCTACTTGGTGAGAGTAAAGGAGCCTCCAGCTGTTGAGGCAAGGCTCCCTCCAGTTGTTGCTGAAAAGCAAGGTCCTTCTAGCTTTTAATTGTAATCAAGGCTCCTTCCAGCTGTTGATGAGAGGCAAGACTCTCAGTAGAGGTAGTGGTGGCCAGATGGTAAGGGGGCTGGGGCTGGCGGCCCCTCCCCTGCAGCTAGCTCACTTAAGATAGGGCCCAGAAGGAGTGGAGTGTGTGTGTGTGTGTGGGGGGGGGGGTTCCATACTGAGACTCTGAGCCCTTCTGCTTATGTCCCTTCCATGTATCTTCCCTGTAAACATCCTGTCCCATCAGCAGCTCCTAACAGACTGTTTATAGTCAACACCGTGTGTGATTTCCAGAGCCAGACCTAAGCCTTTAGAGGAAGCTGGCTTCTGTTGATTACCTTCCTGCCAACTCTTCACCAGCTCCCCTTGCCCACCATCCTCACCATCCGCTAGCTTCCTTCCTAATTCGCCATGGACTGCTATGGAGAGGTAGCAGGGAATGCATGATGTCCCTCCTCCATTCTCCCAAGTGTCCCTTACGACCTGTGTCCCATTGCCCAGCGTCTTCTGTGCAGTCATCCGCCTCCCACGCTGTAAGCGGGTCTGAGTCCGTTGTTTTGTTCCCCCTACCGTGACCGTGGGACAAGAGTGCTGTAGGAATCCCGGGTGTAGCGTGAGTGTTCGGGCGGGCTAGTGGCTGAGCGTAGTCCTTGCCCTTTGACTTGAGTCATCTCCGAAAGGCCTTGGATGGGATTAATGTCAAAACTAAGCTGTACTTCCTCTATGTTTTCCATTTTTAGACTTGACTTTGATGAACTGAAAATGCCATCTAGAAGTTACTGGCACCTCCCCGGGCTGTGCTGAGCTAGGTTCAGAGCTGTGGAGCCAGAGGTCGACAGTGGCCCAGTCTCCTGAGGTGAGTGACTGCTTGCCCCCACTTGAGGGAGGTGTGCTGGCTTTTCCAGGCTCTCCCTGAGACTATGCCATGTGCTGGCTTTTCCAGGCTCTTCTGTGACTTACGTAGCAGAACAAGAGGTGTTACCCTGTTGTCTTAGACTCTTTGTAGCGTGGCTTGGTGGCTTGCCAGCCACGTGGACCTGTTCTCCCCTAGAAGTACAGAGCGGGCTTCCAATGGAGAGCTTTGCAGTTCTCATGAAAACTCACAAGAGACACCTGAACTGTGACCATTGTTCCATGACAAGTGACCGTTATTACAAATAAGAGCTGGCCTGACACTACTGTACTCCACATCAAATGCTACACGGTGGCTCTGAGGACAGACCTAATGAGACTCACCTGTCACTTGCTCTAAGTCCTGGGCATCTAGATCTGAAGATGGCCTGTCTGTTGTTTGGGATCAGGGTCCTGTCAGTGCCTCTCTGGGGAGAGCGGGGTGGCAGCCACAATGAGGTCCTGTGTGTATGCATTGCTATCCTACATTCTAGCATGGTGCTAGCAAAGATGTGTATATCTGTGTAGGACAAATGTGTGTGTGTGTGTGTGTGTGTGTGTGTGTGTTATCATCCAGGTTATGACTAAACAAACCGTATTAGTAACTTTCCTCCTCACTGGCAAAAACGACTTAAAGGGTAAATTCCAGCCCTCGGTTTGAGGTCTAGACAGTCCATTGCGGCAGAGAAGGTTCCAGTATCAGGATCACGAACACAGCTGGTCACGTGGCACCCACAGTCAGGAAGCAGCGAGACACTTGCTCAGCTTGTTCTTTTCTTCTGACTTAGTTCAAGACCCCAGCCCAAGCATGGGCAACACCACGATTAGGGTAGACATTCCTATTTCAACTGATTCAACCTAGAAGCCCCTCCCACACCCCCCCCCCCCAGCAAGCCTAGAGGTTTGTTTCTGAAAAATGACAGCGCTAAATCTCATCAAGCTGAGGAACTGACCATAGCGTTGACTTACCTACATGGTCACTGAGTCAAGGAGTCCCTGCTGATGATGCTGGAACATCCATCAAAGTCCAGTCTATATTGCTATTAGATGGCTCAGCAGTACTCCAACTACCAGATTCCTTGAGCTGGCAGTCATGCTGCATTGCCTTACCACGGGATGCTCTGCCACGGAAAGCGGCCACTTACGGTGAGCAGCTGTCTTGGCTGTTCTGCTCAGCTGGAAAGGCCCAGGACGGCTTCGTAAGTGAGAGGGAAAACCCAGAGCAGAGGGTGAGTGAGTGTTCCAGATATGTCCCTCCCGAAGGGGAGGTGGATTTGTTTTGGTGTATGCTTTAACTGTGCAAGACTTTTATGAAACAGAGGCACAGGGTGGTTTAGTAAGGAACCCCAGGCACACGGCTCTGAGCTGGCCTTTGAAGTTGTAGTGTGTCTGGAGAGCCTTGCCCATCAGCTCTGTTGCCTCTAGGATCCTTGTTTCTAATTCTTTGATAGTGTCTGATACTCAGGGAAATAGCATGAATGGCCAAGTCCAGGAACAAGGTTAAATAAAACTTAGAATGGAGTCATTCATAGTGAGTCTGTTTTCCCAGAACACTGGGATGTTCCGGGTGGTAGATGCTAAGGGGAAACCCCATGCAAGTACAGAAGACGATAAGGAGAGAGGCCACACTCATGGCCCTGACCTTGAAAAGCTGCTGTGTCTCCAGGGTCAGAACAAAGGACAGGTGCTCAGATGTGTAGGTCAGTGGGCCTGCTGTACCCTCAGTTCGGCTTGCTACAGCAGGCCCATTTTAGCGCACTGGAAGCTGAAGATCCTGTGGGCTTAGCGGTCTTGACTTTGGAAACCTTTACTCTTTCTAGATGCTGGCCCAAATAGATGTCTCTCACTTTTTAAAGCAAACACACTCAAGTAGCCTTCAGCCCTTTCTGAAGCCAATGACTGGGTGAGGAGGAGGAGGGAGGGTAACAGAGCCAGCCTGCCTGGGATCCATTTGGCAAGCCTTTGTGCTACATCCCACAGCAAGTCCAAGAGGACTATTCGGAGAAGACACGTCACTGTGTTGCTCAATATTTTTTGTGTAAACACTTTTTCTAAGCACTGAAGTTACCCTCTGTGTCAAGAGTAAAGGCCAAGGGGGGGAGGGGGGAAGGGACCAACAGAAAGGGACCTTTAAGGCTGGAGGTACAGGCTTGCTTTTCTCCTGGTCAATCAGAATAGAATCTGTTCCCTGCTCTAGTAGCCTCTGCAGATGGGCAGTGTGCTCCACAGGGGCCTTTAAGGGTCAGGGACCATCTCTTCCCACCTTGAATCTTGCACTTGTATCAAGGAGCCACTCTGAGAGTATTTGTATTCCAGGGACCACCCTGAGCCGTCATTGTGCTGCACGGTTGTTGTGTAATACCCCAGCAAAGAGCAGTAGAAACTGGAAGTTTCCATCCTTCTCTTGGCTGCATATTTATATGTCATGCACGTCAGTGTATGTGGTCGTCATGGTTGCTGTCACCAGCCCTGTGATGTTGGGAGCATTTCCCACTATTTGAACTGTGTCCCTGGGATGAGCTCCCAGGAGGAGTGAGACCCTTGGAACTGCTTTGAGAATTTCTGCCACCTGTTTGCTATGGTGTCCCTGCTGTGGAAAGGAGCCAGGAAGAATGGGAACAGGAGCTGGAAAATGATCCCAAGAGGCTGGGAGGGGGACAGGGCAAAAGCCAAGGAGATTCCACAGCTGGAGGGATCGTGTGACAGGCAAGGGGATCTTTTTTCTGTGGGGTTCAGTGTCCAGGTCATGGAGAAGCAGGAGCAAGGAGGGGCCGAGCAGGAAAGAGGCTAAGGGTGCTTGTTTCCGTTATGAAAAGAACCCATTCTCCAGTCTCACACTTTTTAGGCCCTGTCGTGTGGACGGGGCAGGATGCACACCAGCAGTTAATGAGCTGCTCTGGACTGTGGCCCACTTCAGGTCAGCTTGGGTGTTGATACTCCAAAGGGCAAAGATGATACAGGCATGGCTCATGGTTCTCTGTCTGCCCGGTCTGTGGGCCGTTTGTACCTGGGATGGTATTTCAGTGTTCCATGAAATTTTCTTTGGACAGGGAGGGGGTAATGCCCACATTATGTAGAAATTCAGGGTCTTCCACGATTCTGGTACCGGGTGGAATCCAGATAACCTTGGCTCTGCTAAATGCCCTGAAGTCCAGAAATGCTTCATAGGGTATGCCACACTTCATCAGCTGTGTATGCTTGGGTGTGAGAATGAGTAAGGGAGGGAGGTCCTTCACACACACACACACACACACACACACACACACCCTCAAGACCTGGGAGGGAGATCCTTCACACTTCACACACACACACACACACACACACACACACACACACACACACCCTCCGTCAAGGCCTGGAAACTGTCCCTTGTTTTGGCTGCAGAAACATCTTGCACTTTGTGGGCGTACCATACTGCCATGAAGGCAGGCATGCAGATGGTGGCGGGAACAGTAGCTTGGGACACTAGCCAAGAAATGGCTGCGTAAGGCAACCCTGCACTCCGCTCATCATAGGATGCCTCTCCACACTGCATCTGGATGGTCCCAACTGTGTCACTCACAGAATGCAGTCCTGTTAATATACACTGTGCTGGATGAAAATATTGAAGAATTTTTGAAATGTTTATTTCATTGCTCTATAATAGTAAAAATTGATTATAAGGTGACAAATGCAGAATTCTAATGAAAAATGCTTAGAAATCTTATTAGTGAGGAGAGTGGCATTGCTGGGCAGACCCAGTCAGTGTTTGGCTTAGACGACACCTGGAAGGCCATTCTCTGCCTTTGCTTCAGTCTCTTGTGAAATCGGACGTCATCTGCCCCTGAGGGTAGGCATGAAAAGCCGGGAAGCCTGGTGTTAGTGTGGAATGGTTCTCTGTATGAATTCCACAGAGTGCCTGTAATCCTTGAAGACCTCCACACGGGGCGTGATCTGAGCTTTCCCTGCCCCACACCTCGTCTCCTTTGCAGCCCTGAGGATGGATAGAAGAGCAAAGGGCACATAGGCTGGCTTGGGTTTGGTAGGGAGTGACCATATTCCTCCCCCAGCTGCAGTCAAGCCTGTGACCACGCCCAGCTGCTGGGATTTCCTGCTCCTCATTCTCTTCCTCTATAAACTGGTGTGACCACTCCTACTTAGAGAATAATTGTGAGAGCTAACAAGTTAATAGTATAAAACTCCAAGAGACAAGTAGATCAGAAATGGTGCGTATCTGTGTATTTTTACACACATTCACATTGTATGCATGTGTGTGTGTGTGTGTGTGTGTACTTACTGTATTCACGTATTACATGTATATGCATACATATACAGTGTACTTACTACTTTATACCATTCTGTTATGTGTCTCATATGCACTTATAAACACATTAAATGTATTATGCATATACTAAAGCCAATTTAAACAAATCTCGCTGGTCACTCCAGCAAAAGTGACACACTTCCTGTCATTTCTGAGATTTGGAGTACAGAGTACCCAGAATGAGGGGCACTAATGTGTGCAGAGGCACTGTATGGAATGTAGTACAGAGGTGTGTGCAAATGAGTGAGCCCTGATGACAGCCTGTCCCCCTTTGCTTCCCTGGAGCTCCTCTTTAGGCTGCCGATAACTTCCCAGGGCTCTCTGCCTGCATGCCCACAGTGTGAGTTGTGCAAAGGTGTATGTACCTTCACCTGTGAGACTCTTTAGGACGGGAAGCGAGGCTGGCCTTCCTGTTCTGACACAGTTGCACCTTGGGCAGAGGGAGGGAGTCCCCAGAGGCCATTGGTGAGGTCCTGAAGTGAGGCTTGCCTGAGGACATTCTATGAAGGCCTGTGCTGGAGAGCCTGGCCTCCTGCTGTGTTTTTCTTAACTTCAGCTAACAGTGTCCATTGCAGAGCTGGGAGGGAAGACTGGCCTCAGAGAGCTGAGGTACTTCTTCACTATTACCAAATGCCCCGCCCCCAAGCCCAGGTGCACCTTGG